ATTCAAAAAGATTGGCGAGGCTCTGGAGAGCCGAAGCTTCCCAGAACAGGATTAAGTAATAAGATGGAGTGACACTGGGTCGCGGAGATGGGGAGGAGCGATTTTATACCCCGGTAGTAAGAGATCATTGAGATTGCAAAACATTAGCGGGGTAGAGTGTCCGAAAGTTGAACTGGAGACCAGGGTGTTGCATCAATTGATGTAATTGCTCGTTACATAATTTCTAACAAAAAGCCATAGGCCATTGTGCGGCTTATTATGTGACAGTATTTAATAGTCCTTGATCAACGCTTATTTAGGTTTTAGGGTCACCTGTAGTCTGGTTTTTCATACACGCAACTGACAGCTTTTTCAGTCAATTTAACCAGTATTTAATAGGCTATTAGTCAACCTCATTTTGGTCCGGTATTTCATGGGCTGTTGGTCAATTTTCTGGTGGTCCTGACTTTCGTAAAGGGATTTCTAGCTTGAATAGTCTGGCAAGGCTTCCCCTTTTTATATATGTTGAGTATTTATTAATATCTCGCCATGAATGTTGCTGTTGTTAGGCCACGATGGGATACCTTACTAATGACGTTTTCCCTTCAAACACTGCTGGATTTTTTTTGAGAAATGTGGAATAGCAGGTTTCACTAACAGTTTTTTGTTCTGTATTTGCCGCGCATTGATTTACTTTTCTAGAAAACGACCTTAAAACTGAATTGACAAGAGATCGTAGAGAACTGTGTTTGATTTTAAACTTAATTATGCAAGTAGGAACAGCAAGTTTAACTGCAAATTTGGAAACGGATTGGAATTTGCGTTTAATAACACATCAAAAAAGTAGATTTAAATATAGTTGTATGGAGTAAAGATAAAGTTACCCAAAAGTTTGAAATTGAACTCAGTTTTGAGTTTGCCTTTGAGTTTTTTTTTTTTGCGCGAGAAAACACTTAATTCTTTCTTTAATTTTTGAAAAGTTTTATTCTCCCAGTACTTGCTGCTCTGTTTTTTTTTTTTTTTTTTTTGATCTTTGAATTAATATGTTTGCAAACCTGTTTCG